GGCTGTTGGCTCGGGTCCCTGCCACCAGGACGCCTCCTGGTGGCAGGGACGGGGCCAGGCGTGGGGCCAGGCGCGGGGACCCACCTCTTCTTCAGATTCTCCAGTTTGTCGTAGAGACCAGGCTTGTTGGTGGCTTCTACCACGTTGGGGGTTTTCACCGCCTCTTCCATCAGGGCCTGGGAGGAGATGGGCCCCCGGGGCGTGAGTGGCCACGTGCTCTCCAGCGTCGCCATTTCTGAAAATGCCCAGGGGGAGGCGGAGGGCTGTGCTCACCTTGAACTCCATGTCAATTTCGTCAAAGCGCTTGGAGTCCTCTGGCAGCTGGGCGCGGATGTCCTCGGAGCCGATGAAGATGCTCTCCAGGTGGCTCCAGGTCCTCTGGACCTCAAACCAGATTGAGATGACGGAGTCCGCCGTGGACAGCTTCTGCTGCCAGCTCGTCACCTCCTTCAGGAAGTGGGACAGGTACTTGGACATCATCAGGTTCTGCAGCTGCACCTGGTTGTCTTCCAGGGTCTCCACCAGCACCTCGTCCGACTTGAGCATCATGGTGCCCATGCGTGGGTGTGGCTCGTGCTCAAACTCCATGGTGGACCACGTGGCGTCCAGGGCTTTCAGCACCTTTCGGGGGACACAGAAACGACGTCACTCGGTGGCTGGCGGGAGGGGCCGAGAAGGACCCGGGACAAAGCCCTGCTTTGAGAAATCCAGAACATCATTGACCGTTGCCAAAAGGTAAAAATGACCCAAACGTCCGTCAGCAGACGAACAGATACAATGGACAGGTCATCAGAATGCCATTCAGCCATAAAGAGGAATGAAGTTCTGACTTAGGCTCCCACATGGATGGACCTTGATGACATCACGTGAAGTCAAAGAGGCTGGACAGACAAGGCCACATCCTGTGAGATTCCATTTACATGAACTGTCCAAAACAGGCAAATGCATAGGGACAGAAAGTGGGTTAGTGGTTGCTTTGAGGTGGGACGGGGATGTATGGGAAGATGGGGGGGTTTCTAGAGGGAATGGCTTTCTTTTTGAGTTGGTGAGAACATGCTAACATTGAATAATTCTCCCACGTGATGGTTGCACACATCCATGAATGCACTAAAAGTCACTGAATTGTACACCTTAAATGGGTGAATGGTATGGTATGTGAATTATAGCTCAATAAAGCTGTTCAAAAAAAAAAAAGGGAAGATAGGGTGCCTGGGTGGCTCAGTCGGAGAAGCGTCTGCCTTTAGCTCAGGTCATGATCCCAGGGTTCTGAGATCGAGTTCCGCATCAGGCTCCCTGAGCAGGGAGTCTGTTTCTCCCTCTGCCTCTGCCCCTTCCTCCCGCTCATGCTCTTTCTCACTATCTCTCTCTCTCTGACAAATAATTAAATAAAATCTTTTTTTAAAAAAAGGGAAGAAAGCCAAAATGTGAAGACTCACACTCACCGAACAGGTGAGGAGAGAGATCTGAATTGCAGAAGGAGCCCTCCTGAATTTCCCTGTGTCCTGTGACTGTCCCGACCAGTGGCTCATCATCCACCCTGATGGCCAGTCCTCCCGCCTTCCCTCCTTCAGCCTCTTCTCCAAAGTCACAGAGAAGGGCGCTCCACGAGAGGAGAGTTCAGGGCATGTTTCAATGTGCACAGTATCACATGAAGGAGACAGAGCTAGAGCCAGGGGGATCCTTTCTCCAGTAATACATTCTGGAAATTTTTTACAAGATTTCCGTCGTGGGTTGGTTAAGGGAAAGCCTACCAAACTTTGTTTTTGTGTTAAGCAACCGCTGGACCCCACATGAAATGAGATGCTCATAGGCGCTGGGCTGGTGGGCCTGCTTCAGCATCATCCCATACAGAACGTACTTTGCTGTCGACAAAAACAAACAAACAAACAAACAAAATACCTTTTCCATCCCAGACTCTTTCACAGCCTTGTCAACGATATTTCGGACCTCATCCTCGTATTTGTGGAGGTTCAGCTGCAGTAAATCTGCCAGGGTAGTCTCATCTGACATTTCAAATTTCACCTGGGGGAGAAATAGGCATGTTCCAGCTAAGGTCATTTGTACTGGATGGACATCTTTGTCCTTTGTGGAGAGCCAGCAGGTTGGAAGAAGCTCTGTGTCGCCATTTCCTGGCTCTGTGACTTGGGTGAGCTACTTCTCCAGGACTTGCCTTTCCTCCCAGTAACACTGTGTAATAGCAGAGCCCACGTGTAGTGCTTTGAAGTGTTTCTCCCAAGTTCCTGCCCACCCAGACCTCAGAATATGACCTTATTTGGAAATAGGGTCTTGGTCGATGTTAAGGATCTTGAGATGAGATCATCCTGCATTATCCACGTGGGACCTAAATGACAGCCGTCCTTATAAGAGGAGAGGAGAGGAGGATTTGAAATGCACAAGGAAGCCATGTGGTCGCAGAGACAGAGATTGGAGGGATGCAGCCACAAGCCAAGGGATGCCTGGGGCCACCACGAGCAGGAGGAGGCAGGGAAGGACTGTCCCCAGGAGCCTTCAGAGGGAGGGACCCCTGCCCACACCTTGATTGCAGACTTGCAGCCACAGAGCCACAGAAGAATACGTGTCTGTGGCTTTAAGCCCCTCGTTTGTGGTTCTTTGTTGCGGCAGCCCCAGGACGCTGACGCGTTAGGCGCAGGGATTAATGCTACTGACGCTGTGTTATTAGCAGGCACGGCTGAGTCTCGGGCACTGTTGCTCTGGTAACAGAAGCAGGTGCCCAGGGCTACCCAGGCCTCACACCCCTTCGACAACCCCTCTCCTACAGTCTCACCATCACATCGACATTTCCGAGTACCGGTCCTGAGCCCCCACGGAGACTGGTTTAGCTAACTGAGAGAATCAAGTGTCTCTCCATCACATTTGGGAGAACATCTGTCTGGGTTTCACTACGTCCTCGGCTGGGACATTTTAGTTGCTTTTTCATCACCGGTTGGGGGTCTCTCCCGGGGCGCCTGGATGGGGCACACGAGCCTGCTGTCCGGCTCAGTGCTCGAGCACTCCAGACAGCCCAGCCCTTCTGCCTGTCTTGTGTTTCTCTCCGCCAAGCCTCAAGCCACACTCCACATGCCCCCGAAGCCTTTTCTGTTCTTCCTTCCCCTTGGAGGCCACGCCTCCTCTAAACTCTTAGAATCTCCACTGAATATCCCGCTCAGCATCTGGAACATGAGCATCGCACGTGCTGTTCTTCTCTCTGCTTCCCTGAGGGCAGAGGCTCTATTCGCCCTCTCTTTGTATCCGTGGCACCTCTGGGGGGCCTCTCTGCAGAGTAGCTGTTCAATAAAGTTTTGTTCAATGTTTGCTGACAGTGGGGAGTGTTCCCATTTGCCTCCTGGGGATGTCGATGCCGGTAACACCCCCTCCCCCAACTAGGGGATATCCCTGGGAAAATTTGGGCACTAGGGCTTTGTGCTCCTGGGGGGCATGGGGAAAGCCAGGGGAGATGTTCATCCAAGCCAGAATTCCTGAACCCCATGGACAGTCAACCTACAACCAAAACTGGCTACATAATTTCCAGTGCAAAATGAAAATGATGGGGCCCTTTGTTAAAAAAATTATTAAGAATTGGGGTGCCTGCGTGGCTCTGTCAGGTAAGCGTCTGCCTTCGGCTCAGGTCATGATCCTGGAGTCCCGGGATCGAGCCCCACGTCGGGCTCCCTGCTCAGTGGGGAGCCTGCTTCTCCCTCTCCCGCCTGCTCACGCTCTCTCTCTCTCTCTCTCTCTCAAATAAATACATAAAATCTTAAAAAAAATTATCAAGAATGCCCAGATGGCAGCAGCAGAGCACTCCAGCCAGGATGGGCGCCCTCTGAGCGCAGCGCCCCGTGTGGCCGGCCCAGGTCACAAGCGCCCGAGGCCAGGCCTGCCCACACCCAGCTTCGCCAGCCAAGGGCCAGCGCAGCCCACGGCGAGGCCAGCCGGCCGCCAGGGGCGGTACCTGGGTGGCCTGCATGAGCTGCTGCCAGTGACGGTCCCGGACGGCGGGGTTCTGCAGCTCGCTCACGGCGCGCAGGGATGTGATCATGTTCCTCACGGTGTTGTCCAGCCCCACGAAGGCGTCCCAGCTCTTCATCTCCTTGTCCAGAGACCTCACGTCTTTGGCAAACTTCTTACAATCTATGTCCATCTGCTCAACGTTGATATCTTTCCACTTGGTGGTCCTCCAGTTGTCAATGCTGGTGTTCACCTGTGGGGAAACACTCACTGAGGGTTGGGGAAGACGTCTGTGTCCCCTTACTGCCGTGGCTCCTGGGGAGCATGCAGGACTGCGGACAGAGGGTGGTACGGTGGACGGACACAAGGGGGGAAAGCCCAGTTGCAGAGATACAACTCAAAAGCCAGCCGTTCAACTCTATTTTGGCAGAATCCCATGGAGGGTGCTGCCTCCGCTCACCAGGACCCAGGCCCCTCTACTCCGTCGTGGGGCCATGTGACCTGCTTCGACCAGGGAAACGTGAGTGACGCCGGGAACTCTGGGGCAGAGAGCACTTAATTGTCGGTGCTTGACTCGGAGCCCTGTCGGCCTTGGCAGTCACGGAAACGCACGGGGCCACACAGCCTGGAACAAGGGGCTGCCCAAGGGCTGCCTGGAACCAGCATGTGGACTTTGCATGAAAGAGAGATATACTTTTGTTGTGAACTACATAGAGGTCTTCTTAGGGCTGTTTGTTAGTGCAGAGTAACCTAGCTTCTACTGACGGATGACCATGTATTAGAAGAAGCTCGAGGACACAACAGAATCTCCCCAGGAAGAACCCTGCCAACAGTGGACATGGAAGGCCACAAAGCCTGCGGTCTTCAATTTGGTGTGGGCTGGAAATGGACGTGAAGCTGGGATGGATGCAGAGAGATTTCTGGTACCAGTGTTCGAGGCCCGGAGGCCCGGGCTGGACAAGCCTGCTTGTTGCATAAAGGCAAAGAGGGGCGGCTGTTTACAGGAGACCGGCCTTGAAGATGCTAAGACACAAAACCTTAATGCCCCGTGGGCGCTGAGTCAGTGGCTCTTTTAGGCTTTAGCTTATTCTCTATCCTGTTTTCATAAAAGTGTCCTGGGCAGTATGTTTTGGAGGATTTTCCTTGAAATATTCTGGCTGTAAATGCTAACTCCTGGGAAACGCAGGCTTATTCTCTAGGTCTGTGCGGACTGCTGTTTATCCAGGGCACGGGCAGCCCCCCGTCCTCTCTGGCTTTACCAACTCTGTTCCGGAATGTCCCTCACACACAAGAGACTCGCGTTCAGCTCCTTGTGAGAAAGTAACTATCAAGAGGCTCCGGTCTGTCCTTGAGAGAGAGGACAGAGCTTGTGACTCGGAGACGCTCTCTTTCCCCTCTGTAAGAGGCTCAGTGTGGTCAGAAGGAAGACATGTCCAACATTTTACTATGATGTACTGAAAAAAATAGGACAAACGGAGAGGTGGAGCATGCTCGTGTGCGGGGAGAACCCCGATCAACACCAGGAGGGCAATGCTCCCCAGAGTAGCTCACGGAGAAAATCCAGTTCTGTATAAAGTCATAATGGTTTCTCTTGGAGGGGAGAAGGATTTGACAGAGATTCTGCAGTTCGTTGGAGAGAATAAGAGGGAAGAGCTAACATCTCTCTGGAAACGGGGGAGCTGGGAGGAGAGGCCGGCTGAAGCCAACACGTGCCCGAGTGCCACCCTCCTTTCCAAGGAGAGTGCGACCTAGCACCTCCCCTCACCCCCCACCCTGGGTCCCCGCAGTGCTGGCCCGCCCCACCCACGCCGGGAGACTGCCATCACCCTCACCATGACGATCATGTCCCAGAGCTCCTTCAGCAGGCGGACCTCCTTGTGACAAGCTTTGAGCTGCTTGTAGTCTGGGACCGTGACTTCGAACAGGCTCCCGGACTTGCACAGGGCCTCCATGGTGCTCTCCATGGACGCGATGCTCTTTTGTTGCTGGGGGCGGGCAAGGGGGGCGGTCAGCAGCGTGGCTCACGCTCAGTGCTGGCCTCCCTCTTGCCCTCTGCCGCCTCCCGGTGGACCTCCCCTGCGTCCTCACCGGCCAGGTGCTGTGTTCTGACCCCGCGCACCGACCGGCGGGAACTGTGCGCCCGCCCCCTCCCGTCTTCCAAAGCCCCCTGCTTCTGTCGCACGGCCAGCGCGCCAGCTTTGGGAGTTCAGGCGTGAGAAGTGACTTTAACGGGCCTGGCACGAATGCCCGATTTCCTCCGGAGAGGTTCAGGATGGCTCAATTCTCACCCCCTGTTTTTTACCTTGTTAAACATTAAGGAGGTAATGCTTGATTGCTTTGAAAATGAGAACAGTCTACATGAGAGGAGGAAAGCAAGAGTCACTCCAAACCAGGGGAGTGAGAGTGGGGGCTTCGGGGTCGAGTGTGTGAGCGTCTGTGTGTGTGTGTGCACACGCGCGCGTGTGCTGGATGTGAAGATGGGCTCCCTGTGTGTGCGGGCGGCTCCAAGAGGGCTTTGGCACGCACGGACCCGGTTCCTAAACAAGCTCACACCGGATCTCTGCAGAACCCAGCCCGGGCCCTGTGGGCTCCAGGAGAGACCGTGTGCCTCCCTGCGGGGCTGGGGGAGTGGGACGTGAGAAAATGACCCTGACGAACGGGGAGGATCTTTGGGAATGGTGGCTTCGAAGCCGTGTGAGAAGAGCAGAGGCTGGGGGAGGGCATGTGCGGGGGACCCTGAAGGGCATCTTGGGGCCTTTGTGCTCATGCCCGCGTGCCTCACACGCTCCCCTGCGAGAGGGTTGTCAGGCCCAGCCCGGTGGTGCTCGTACGCTGGACGCTGGTTGTGGACTTAACATCGGGAACAGAAGGGGACATGGTAGGGCTCGGCCACGCGCTGCACACAGTGGCCAGGGAGGGGAAGACAGCGGCACAGAGGTGAGTGCCAGGCCGGTGACAGGGAGCCACTGGGTGAGAAGGAGCCAGGGACGAAGGAGGCACAGCGGGGCTGAGCAGCTGGGCTGGATCGCCGGGCTTGGGGGTGTTCCCACGCCTGGGACCCTCGGCCAAGCCGCACCCCACAGCATGGAGGCCACAAGGGTGTGCGTGGACACCTGTGTGCACGTGCGGCCCCGAGGCCAGGCCCCTCGAGGCCAAGGATGAGAGCTCGAGGAGAGGCTGGGAGGGCACCGGGGTCCTTGACCGACCTACCTTATTCAGGGACTTGTAGGGGTCGGGGTCGGTGAAGCTGAACGGGGCTTCTCGCCGGAACTTCTCTCTGAACTCCTGCTGCTTGAGCTGTGGGAGAGGTGCCCATATCACCCTCCCCGGCGACACCCCGGCCTCCCGGGGGGCAACACGGCTCGGCCTGCCAGGGTGGCGCTACCTCGAACTGCTGGCACTTCCGCCGCAGGATGTTGACCTCGCTGGCCTGCAGGGGCGCCACGTTCTGCTTCACCTGGATCACCAGCTTCTTGGTGTTTGTCCACTGCTCCGGCAGCTCCTGCAGCAGACAAAGGCCTCGATCCCTTCCTTTTCCTGTTCTTTTAAACGCTTTCCATCGTGAAATAGTGTGGACTCACAGGCAGTTGCAAATGTAGCACAGAGAGTCCTGTGTGCCCCCCGCCCCGCCCCCGGCGCCCCGGGAGGCGGACCTTTGACAGGTGCAACCACTAGCCTGTCCCCCATTTCTGTAATTTTGCCAGAACGGCTTTAACAATCAGATGGGTTTTTGTGCTTTCAAAGTTGTCCGCACTTGAGCAAATATTGGACTTCTGATCACAAAATATCTTGAAGAGAAAGAATCCCGGCCCACGAATTCTTCGCCCACAAAACAAAGACAGGGGTTTCCCTTTCCTCTATGATGAGTTAACATTCTGTGGGCGAAGGGACATTCAAAGCCCGGGCCACGCCCGTCGCCCCTGGGCCCGGCCGCACACCCCTCACATCCGCGTCCTCTGCTGGTCCTGGGCAGGGCAGCAGGGGCGGCCACCGGCCTGGTAGCGGGACCCCGGGCAGCGCCTCCCGGCTCCTGCCCCCCCTGCCCCGCACCCCTGTCGTCCCCCCTGCCGCAGGGTCTCGGCCCGGATCCAGAGCAGGGCAGAGAGCTGAGAAAGGGATGAGGGTGACCCTCCAGGGGGTGGCGGGCTGTGGCTTCAGGACCCTTCCCCTCCTCCTTGCCACCTTGCCTGGGCCAGCCCTGCCACACGGACCTTCCAGGTCAGGGAGCTCCCGCAGCAGCTGGCCCCTCCCTCGGCCTCACTGGCGTGTCCCTAACCTCCGCCGACCCCACTCTTGGTCCACCGCCCCCCTGCACCCAGGGTTGACCCGTCCTTGGGGGCAGGTGTGGGATATGAAGACATTTTCAATTCAACAATTCAATGGAGGAACCACCGGCTTCACCCTAGAGGCCACCTCACTGTCCCTTCCTCTGCAGGGAGCCTTCTCCCACCTCGACATTCCACATGGATCCCTGGATCCACAGGAGGAGGTCTATCCTGCAGGTCCCCAGGCACAACAGCCTGGACTCCAGTTGCAAGGCCCCCGGCACTGGGCTGGCTCCCCACCACCCTCCCCGGACAGCCCCCCACTCCCCAGCCCTGGGCTGCTCGCCCCCTCCCCCGCCCCCCCGGATGGCACGGCGCCCAGCCGCTGTCCACCTGCAGCTTCAGGTGTGTCTCTTCCGGTATCTCCTCCCCGTAGGTCTTGAGCAGCTCAATGGTTTGCTTCAGGGGCTCAAACATGTTGTCCGTGGACACCTGCCTCTCCTTGACCTTCATCAGATGACCCATCACCTCCACGAGACCGTCGTAATCTCCCTCCTTGAGGGTCTTGGTTAAGCCCGTCCTGGCGACTTTCATGAAGGCTTCCAGGTCAGCCAGGCTGTTGAACGAGAGGCCCCCGTGAGGGGTGCCAGCCTCCATGGTGGGGGTGAGGCCTGTCTGGGGGGGTGGGGGGTGGGGGGCACTCCCCAGTTATACTGTGGGGCCCTGTTGAGCAAGGCAGAGCTCCTGTCCTCTTCAGGACACCTGCTCTTGACCCCCACCCTGCGCCCCACCAGCTCCACTCCAACTGGCCTCCCGATGGGAGCTCAGCCTGCACTCCCTCCTGGCCCCTTGCGGCCCTGACCGCCGCCCCTGACTGCGCGGTCACCTGTCCCCTGGCGACACGTCAGGCAGCCTTGCTGCCCTCACGGCTCCAGACACGGAGGTGCTCAATGAGTAGGGCCCACGAAGCCCGGGGCGTCCACTCACAGCCAGGTGACTCCTGTCCACTGGGACCCACCCTGGACGGGGGCAGGGGGGGCTGCTGACCGCGACGCTGACCTTCACCCCCACGCCTGCCCGGCAGGAGCGCCCCACCGACACCACGAAAGCGTGTTTCTCCTCGGGCGAAGTCACGGTCGGGATGGCAGGATGGGCTGCGGGGCCGGGCACCCACCTGCTGATGACGTGGTCGCTCAGATGTCGCTTGAACATCAAGCTCCAGCGCTTGATGATGTTGAGGAGGGCCTGCTTGAAGGGGCGGCAGTCACACTGCAGCCAGCCGTTGAACACCTTGGTGTTCTCACACTTGGACACTTCCTCGTACAGCTTCTCGTAGGAATCGATCTGGAAAACACAGCCGCTGCTCACTGTCGGGCCGCGGTGGGAGGAGGGCAGCCCTGCCCACAGGTTACTTCTTCTTCTTCTCCCAGCTCCCCTGGGACCCCTGCAGCCCCGCAGCCCAGCCCCTGTCGGGAGGGGACGGCCTCGGGCAAGGCCGGCTGGGCTTCTGAAGAATAGGCCAGGAGCTCAAGAGGTGATTGTGGTCATGGCAACCACCGGGCGCCCTAAACTCAGCTCTCTCCACGCTGCTCTGCATTCTCCGGGCTCTCGGCTCTGCCAGCTGCCCCCCACCTGCCCGTCTCCCCCGTGGGTTCTGCTCACGGGCGTCTCTCTCCCACCGTGCATGGGGAAGGGGGAGGTGTGTGTAGTTGTTGTTGTCTTATGTTCTATCTTTCTGATGCTCTGGCACCCGGGGCCTCACTGACCCTGCTGGGCCTGCCCCTCCCAGGGCTGGCGGACTCCCAGAGAGAGCAGACCACTCCCCAGGGAGCCCGTCTTTCGTATACAAACCAACCCAGAGCCTGCATCCCAACCACCCTCTTTGCACTCGGGGCCAATATTTCCCCATCCTACTCACCCCAGGGCCAGGGACCAGACAACAAGGGGCCGCCCCTACACCCCGGAGTCCACCAACATGACTCCAACTCGCCAATCCCAGGCCCTATCTTTCCTGTGAAAACCACAACATGGGCTGTGGATCCCACCTTCCCCTCTGTCCCTCTGCCTTGGGACTGACCCTGGTGCTTCCCCCGTGGCCCTGTGGGGCCAGGCATGCCCCCACCTCCTGGAACCCGTGAGTCACAAACTCTCTTCCATGGCAGTCATCTGCTCTTTTGGGAGGCACCAGACCAGTATAATAATAAAACCCACATTTAAAAACCATTCACCCAGGGCGCCTGGGTGACTCTGTCGGTGAAGCGTCTGTCTTCGGCTCAGGTCATGATCACAGGGTCCTGGGATCAAGTCCCACATGGGGCTCCCTGCTCAGTAGGGATCCTGCTTCTCCCTCTCCCCCCCACCCCGCTCATGCTCTCTCTTTTCCTTTCTCTCTCTCTCTCTCAAATTAATAAATAAAATCTTTAGTCTTAAAAAATAAAAAATAAAAACCATTCACCAAGGTTTGAATCAAGCCCAGTGAGGAGCCCCCACCCCCCGGGGAGGGGGCAGGAATTGCAGGGGTGAGGAAGCCTGCACACACACCTGCTGCTGGAACTGGGTGAGGCTGGGTGGCGTCTTGGAGAGGGTCTCTTCAGCCCGGGTGTCCAAGTCCTCCGGGGTGACCGCACGCCCGTAGATCAGGAAGTTCTTCATGAACTCCTGGGGGTCGTCCATCCAGAGGTAGGAGTACCTCTCGAAGGAGTCCTGGTACTCCTCAGCCTCCTTCATGGCGCTGATGACCAGGTTGGACATCTCCTCCCTCATCTCTATGAGGTCCGTCATGTCTTCCAGGTCTGCCTGCGAGGGGGCAGGAGAGAAGCAGACCGGCGAGCGTTGGCCTGTGGTCACGGCTTCGATTGGATGTCTCCACCCTGGAGGGTGTCTCTCTGCCAGTGGAAGTGTTGCTAACCTCTCAAGATGGAAAACAGAGCAATTTGCCAATTGGCCGTGTTCTCCCGAGAGAAGATTATGTTGAATGTGACTTTTGTCTGGCAGACTCAAGGATGGCTCGCACACTGATTCTTTCATGCAAGAGTAACTTGGCACCTGCTGTGTGTGCCACATGAGGGGGTGGGTGCTGGTCACATGGAGGGTGTGGTCCAGGCGTGGGGTTAGGCATTCCTCAAAAAATCACAGACTCTGAGCCTTGCTTTAATGCGTAGCAGGGAGGAGGTCGGGGACTGTTCCCTGAGGAAGTGACCGTTGTTCTGAGAACTGATGGATGGCTAGGCAAAGAGCAAGAGAAACAGCAAAGCACATGCAAAGGCCCTGCACTGGGAGGAAGCAGATGTTTGAGGAACTAAAGGAAGTCTACCATGGATGGCTAGAGCAGGGAACTGGGGAGGCCTGATCTGGACAGAATTTTTTGAGTTTTGAGCAACAGAAAACCCAACCCAAGTTGGTTTAAGCAACAAGACAACTCACTGAGTCATGGAACTGGAGAATCTCAAGGTGGGGTGTGTGTATTCATTATGGTTTTTATTTTCTGTATCTTAAGATGCCTTGACATCTTAAAAACTCTTGCTGGCTGGGAGATACTGCCCTTCTGGGGACTAGCCAATTCTGAGAGAGAGGAAGAGCTCAGAAGGGAGCATACCCTTCATACGCAAACCAACCAGCCCTGAGGCTACACCTGCCCCCCTCCCCCCCTGCCCTGCCGCTTTACCCAACACTTCTCCTATCCTAAGTGGTCCAGGGTCAGGTACCCGATAACTGCAGGTGACCCCTGGAGCCCAGAGCCGCCAATTAATGCAAACTGGCTAGTCCTTAGCAGTTTCCCACCTGCCTTGCCTTTTCCTGCAGAAACCTCTGGAAAGGCTCTGGCCTGGGCTTGCCCCTCACTCCCACCTCTGCACCTGCTGTGACCCCGTGTGGCCCTGCACCACCTGCCAGGCCTCTCGTTTCTATGGGAACTGTGAGCAGCATTAACTTTTCTCTCCATGGCACTGACCTCTCCACACGGCCACTCAGCCACCTCTGCAAATTAAGATCCCACGGGCTCAAGTGAGGCTGGTGTGGGGCGTGCACAGGCTGGGCTAAGGCATGATCGGCAGGACCCTTGTCTTGCTCTGCTCTGTCCTCCTCCACGTGTGTCTTCATCAGCAGGTGGATCCCCTCAGAGCCCACGGGGGGCTGCAGGAGCTCCAGATGTGCATCCTGCCAGACCCCGGAGCACACTGGGTCCCGCGTCCAATCCTGAACTGATCTCTGGTGACAAACTCTATTCTGGACCCTGGAACGCTTCATCCAGGCACATCCCCTTGGCCTGACACTGTCTGCCTGGAAACCCCCTCCCACCCTTTAAGACTCAGCCAGCGTACACTCAGCTGATCTGGGAAGCTGTCCTTGACATTGCGAGGGATTTCCTCTGTGCACTCACCTCACCGCGCACACGCACACATGCTCACACGCACACATATACCTTCCTCCCTGATAGTATAGAGCCTTTCGTTGTAAATGTTGCAAATAATTCATGCCTGTTATCAAAAATCTCAAGCAACGCAGAAGTATTTGAAATCAAAACCCCTTTGCATCCCTTTGTCCAAGCCCCCTCCCCTCCTTACCCCCTTCCTGTTGGAGAAGTGAGCACTCCTAGCAATTTGGAGCGTATCATTGGAAGACAGATTTTTGTTTGTTTCAATGAATGAAATCATATTCTAAACATTGTTCCACAACTTGATAAACCATAACCTGCCGCCAGCGTCTCCCCACCCCAGGCTGGTGTTGGTGACTCATGCAGACGCTTTGTCCGGTCAGGCCAGCGTCTGTTGAACCAGCTACCCTGTTTGATGGCACTTAGGTCTTTTCCAGGTTTTGTTTCACTCTTACAAACAATGCTCCGACACACACACCTCCAAAGACCTCCCTTCGGAGAAGCAAAACTTCCTACGCCTTTTGTGTCCAGATAATCCGATCTGTTTTGCTTATAGGTACTTCATGTATCAACGGTACCTGGATGCACAAGCCGGCGAGGGCACGTTTGTCAAAATGCCTGCGTGCTGAGGGGACCACAGCAGTTAACTCACAGAAACAAGTGAAACACCAGGAAATGGGTACGAGCGCGCTCTGGCCAGCAGTGGGAATGAAAACCAGGCCGACTAGGAGAAGCCGGTCTGGGAAGAACGGCGGGATTTCTGGAGTGGGGAGGGAAACGCAGTTTGGCGTCCTGAGGACCTGATAGACACCCCTGGGTGGCTCCTCACACTCAGAGCCATCGGCATTTAAAAGGTAACTGACGGGGCACTGCTGAGTTAGGAAGGCAGCTGGAACAAGGGAGCCTGGACTGACCTTGTAGCTCATTTGGCCCTTGGCCAGCCGGGGGATGAACTTGGCTGCGTTGTAGATGTCATTGATCAGGCCCTCAATCAGCGTCAGGAAGCCATGGTCCGCGCCCATCTCCAGGGATGGATGGAAGACCAGCCCGTCCTCTTCCAGCTCCATGCGGACCTCAAAGAGTGGCGCCACGCTCTCCTGAAACAGGCCGGCCCGGGGTCAATGCCTCGAGCTCGGTGGAACCACTCCCAAGGCCCTGATGTTCTCTCGGGGCATGCCAGGGCTGACTCAGGCTGGCTGGGGCTGGCTGGGTCCACCTGGGAGAGCACACTCAGCCAGGGGCCCCTGAGCAGGGCCCAGAGAGGCTGGAGGGGGCCAGCGCACACACGGAAGCGCAGGAGAGAGCCCACAGCCTTGGTGCTGAGCTGTGTCCGCTCGCTACTTACCAGTCACGTGGCCGTGGGCAAGACACTTGCCCTCCCAGTTTCCCCAGATACATAAAATGAGGATAATCATTTTACAGAACAGAGACACCAACTGTCCCCATCTCTTGGGGTTACTGTGAGGACTAAGCCAGTAACACAGGATGCGTGGGAGCGGCGGCTGGCTCACTCCCAGGCGCTGGTGGGGTCACGGCTGGGCAGGATGGGTGTCGCCGTGCTCCGGAAAGCACAACGCTCATGTCCTTAGTTCTAGGGAGTTCCACTGTGAGCATCCTCGCTGCATAACTAATGGAGAGTGAAACAATTCCGCCATAAAAGATAAAATAACTGGTTGACGGTTTGGTTTCGGGTCTCCATTGACAAGGTTCTGGGAGGCACTCACGTTTTTATCGTACGGTCGAAATCTCAGCTAGCCCTCATAGTGGATGACAGCGGATAACAACTACGTGTATCAGCCTGATCGAAAACACGGTGGGGAACTTTCTGGGAGAGTGAAACAAGACCGGGTACAGCCAGATTGCACGCTAGACTATCCTGGACCCTGAGGACGCATCAGTCACCATGCGACAAAGCTCAGTCGGCTTTCTCCCGTTGTTTCCCATGGAGCGTTGGGCGCCCATCCACGTCCATGAGACAATATGCCAGGGAGGAGCATAGGTACCGTGCTCGGTTACCAGTCTGCACCCAAGTATTTGGAAAACGGATACCTCTCATCACAAAGGAAGACATTAAGTATTAGTACTATTCATTTTTTTCACGTTTCATTGTGATCTTTTTAATGTCTCTCTTTTATTTTTTATTTTCATGGCAAAATTGCCTCGCGACCAATTCATTGAGCCCCTAAAATGACTTGCTGTGAGATGCTGGAGCTGGACAGGAGGCAGGCCAGCTTTCAAGTGCTCCATAAAGGACAACCCTCACAGCCACGGGAGTATCCCAGTCGTAAAGTGGGTACGCACAGTAACCCTGTCTGTTCCTGGAGCCCCCTCGCGAGGCTGCGAGGCTGAGGGTGCCGGCCTCATTTGTCAGGTGACCTCATGGAGGTTAGTCCGACACTCCAGTGATTCTCAAAGTATGGGCCAAGGCCCACAGGTGGCCATGAGATCCACTCCACGGCTACTAATCTTCCAAACACAGTCCCATGACGGCCCCATGGGCAGTTGACTCAAGAACCCACTGGTTTTTCTCTATGACCAAGGGATGGTGTTTGCTAGCGTCCAAGTGAATTGTTAAGTACACAAGGTCAATCGTCACAAACTCAGATGACCAGGATTTTCTAAAGCCTCTCCCTCACAGGTCTGCTCCTGCTGCCAGGCCCCTTGCAAATATGGGGACTCCCTGGGATTTTTGGAGAAGGACATTTTGTCATCAGGGCATCATCATCGTTTTGACTGTGACTAATTAACTATAAATTCCTGAACTTGCTGACACTTTGCATCATTGTGGGTTGCTTGATGAGTCTTGTGGTTGGTAGTAAGGATGACTTTCATCAACAGAATTTCAGGTCTGTGATTGTCTGGTGACACCTGGCCTTTGAGACACATGCACTGGGCTCAAGCATGAATCATCCATCCTCTGTGGCTTGTACAAGGGCATCTTGCTGTCCTCTCCCACATCTTTCCTGCGGGTGTGCTAGGTGGGCTGGGGGATCTTTGATTTCTCCTACTGGCAGTATTCAAAATCATTTGGGAATTATTGTAATGAAAAAGACATGGGTGGGAGAGGGCTCACCCCCATGGAAAATGCTGGAGAATGCCAGAATGAAATTAACCAGCACATCCTTTGCTGACCTGCTTTACACTTCCATGGAGCCCATGGACCCCTCGGACCCCATGAGGGTTGAGTAGGTTAGTAGCTGATGTTGCTGACAGGAGGGGACCCCCTGCCCAATCCACTTGAGTAGGGGACAGTGGTGCTTGCTTTCCCTCACCTGGCAACGAGGCAGGACCATTTATGCATTCTATAGCCGATTTATGGTGCGGTAGATTGAAGGTGACCAGACGTCCTGAGTGCCGGGGACTAAAGAGAGTTCTGGGATACAGGACTTTCAGTTTTAAAGCCAGCATGCGTAGTTCACCCTCTGCAGGTTCTAATGTTTGGTTATTTGTAACATGATAGCCTGGTCTTTCGTCAGGAACCCGCAAACTATAGATTCCAAGGTAGACCTTATCTTATTTTTATAACACCATATTTATAGCACAAATATATGCATATCTTATATTTATAACTCACATCCAAGACCATGTTGTCTATGAAGTAATTCAGAGATTTGCGGATGAAATGGTCAAATTCATCCAGGACCATGTTGTCAACATAGTTGACGTAGTCTTTCCAGGACTGGCTCATCGTATCTGCTCTGAACAGTTCAGCATTTTCCTGCAAACAGGACCACACAGTCAGCTGCTGTTTCACAGGGTCCCCTGCTCACTGCTTGACCAACTCACTCGGCGACTCTCTGGGCTACTCTTGTCCCTGCTTACATACTCCAGACACATAGGGCTGCTTTTTGCTTCTCTAATGTGCCAGGAGCTTTCCTTTCCTATGTCAGAGTCTTTGCATAGGCTGCTCCCTCCCATTATTGCCAAGTCTGGCTTCTTCTCGATTTCAGCCCAAATGTCACCTCCTCACAAAGGAAAGCCTTCTTTCACCACCCCCCATTCATCTCAGGCTTGGCTTCTGTCCCTGCCTCTCATCTGTATTCCCTCTAGCAATCCATTATTTGTGCCTACCATGGCACAGATGACAACTGTGAATGATTTTATTTATTTGTGTCTAGTCTGTACCTCCCTTTGATGTCAAGCTACATGAGGACAGGTGTTGACTGTCCTTTCCACCATTGTGTCTTCAGCATGCAGCAGGAGGCCTGGGACAAAGCAGGAGCTAGTGAATGGATGGATGGGTGGGTGGAATGATGGTGGACAGATGGATGGGTGGGTGGGTAGATGTGTGGATGAAAGGAGAGATGAATGGATGGGTGGATGGATTTGTGGATAGGAGGATAAATGGATGGATCGGTGGGTGGATGGGTGGATGAATGGATGGATGTGTGGATGAAAGAATAGATGAATGGATCAATGGATGGATGGATGGACGTGTGGATGGACGTGTGGTTGGGAGGATAGATAGTAGATGGATGGGTGGATGGATGGATGAGTGGGTGGATGTATAGATGGGTGGATGGATGGATGGATAGATGTATAGATGGGTGGATGGATGGATGGATAGATGGATGGATGGATGGATAGATGGATGGATGGATGGATGGATGGATGGATGGATGGATGGATGGATGGAAGAGTGAATGGATGTGTGGATGAGGGGATGGATGAATCCGTAAGACACCGAGGGCCACAGGGAACACAAAGATGACTATGACCCAGTCTGCACCCTCACGCAGTTATCTTCTAATAGAAGAAAGAAGACACAGGCTTAAATAACTTCAGTGCAAGGTAGAAAGAATTGGTTTAAATAACTATCATGTGCATAGAGGACTCTGGCAAATATGACGACAAAGCCTTGTTTTGTCGGCTTACTGGCCTCTACTTCTCCTAGGCTCCTGTTCCCTGCTGCCCTGCCTCCTCGCCTATCCTGGGGCTGCACTGCTGTGCTGTGAACCTTTCCCTTAGCCTAGCCCAATTTATCTCTCCTGTGCCCTGTTTCCAACACACCCGAGAGCGTCAACAGATTAATCTGTTAATTCTTCCAAGTAATATGTTTGCATTGTAACATTTTCATTTAGTAGGACCTTCTGGTACCATGGCAAAGGGGGAAGGAAGAGGATCTGAAAAGGAGACAAAATATTTTTTGGTCCAGTCAAGTCACTCCACTGGGGCAATGACTTTCCAAGCAATGGCTGGACTGTGAGAACAGCCAGCAACACACCTTCCACCAGTGGGGCCCGCAGGCTGTCTGGGGTGATGACCCATCATTGAAGTCCACATCCACGATTTGTACCAAGCACTGGGGAACCTCCCCAAAAACTGCCCTGAAAATATCTTGAGCTCAAGGGAGAATTTTCTCTTTCTAGGCCAGTGCACAACTCCACCTTTCACATTTGCCTTGGAAATGAGCTAACATGCGAGCTGGATAGAAACGGCTGCCAAGTGAGGAAGGCGTGAGAACCCCCACACTGGCAGGAACCCAGGCTGCACTCCCAGGGGTGCCCGGCGAGCGTCTGGCCTCCTCCCTCGGCACGTGCCGGCAGGGACAGAGGCCCACCGCTGCTGACCCACGCTCTTGGGGCATGCCAGGGCTGACTCAGGCTGGCTGGGGCTGGCTACCACACCATCCTGATTTAAACCATGCACGCACATTCCACGTTCCTCACTCGCATTTGCATGCTTTGTTTCCCCCTTACACTCGGGACGGGAAACCATGAAGGACACCAGATACACACTCAGCGCCCGCCCTCACACTGTGTATCTCAGGGAAACAAAATGCGTTGACCTTGTACAGAGATGTCACTTGCCTATATCGATTTTGTGCAGGGTAGGGGCTGCTGACCCCTTAGCACGGAGGAGGGCAGACTCATCGCAAGAGTGTCCGTTTAGGATAGTCTGCTTCTTGAAAATAAGACTCCTGGATTAAAGATAGTAGAGTTTCCGTGACCCTAAAGCCATTTTTATGGCATCTCTCGTTCTTCCTCTTCTACTAACAGTGAGTGCCCCCTCGAGGCCCGTTGTGGGCCAGTCCTTACCATGACCATGGCCTGAATCTTCAGGCCGGCCTCCTTGACCACAGTGTAGCGCCTGTTGAGGTTGACCACCCTTCCGTCCAAATCCAGCAGGGCCTCCTTCTTATTGTCCTTCCTCTCAAACATTGGGTTGGCTGACCAGTCCTGCAGGGAAAAGGTAGGAGTGAGGAGAACATTTGGGGAAAATGCCTGTTCTCACGGCTTCACTGCATGCTTGTCGATGCGAATGTCCTTGTCCCTCGGAGAGGCCTGGGGGCCCCAGAGGGACAATTGAGCAGAGAATCTTGTTTGCCTTAAAACCAGTCACGGGCTCGGGGTGGCCAGGAGACCGCTGGAAGGCTTTACCCAATCAGGCCCAGAGGAGTCACCCTGGGAAGGCGCCTGAGCTGAGGGGTGGATGGTCAGAGCTGGGCAGAGGGTCCTTAGCTCCAAATAGCAGGCCCAGTAGGGACAAGTCCCTTTTGTGGGGGCAACTGAATTGCTGTGGGGGATTTTCCCCCATTTTCTGGATTGGGCTTGAGTGAAAGTCACCTCGGTGCTTCACTGAGCGGGGCTGAGACTCCGTGTACCCTCCCGCCCCTTGTCCCCGGCTCTGGCCTGGCACAGAGGGGACACTGCAAACACTCTTGCTGAGCTCAACAGAACAGAACAGACCTGAATTCTGCAGACTGGCCTGGGACTTCCCTGCCTTGGGGCCACCTTGACATTGTTGTGTGGTCCAGAGCCTCAAACAGCAAGTTCCTGCTGCCTTTGGCACTTTCTGTGAGCATCTCCGTGTGGCCCCTTTTCCCTGGGACCCTCTCCTGGGCCTCCGATGAAGCCCTGCTCCACGCTTTGCCGCTCACTCACCTTCATGGCTTGAGAAATCCCATCTGTATTCTGCTTTGCTTTCTGTATCCTATTCTGCAAGTTTTGGAGAATTTCTCGCATCTCTTGAATATATTCTAACACACCTAAAATATAAACATAAAGGAATCTTACAAAATGAACGAATCAGTAAAAGGAGAACTTCTCTTGGGCCAGCTGAAGGCTCATCATAATGAGACAGCTCTTGGAAAATACATCTACTGCTCATCCGGAGTTCCCCGAATGCAATGCTGAGCAGGACTCCCTCTCTGGGAGCAGGACTTCCTTATCCCTGAATAGATGGGTCATTAGTTCCCCCGGGGGACCCCGCATTCCCTGCGGCCCTGCCCCTCCAGCCACCAGCAGAGCGCTGGGGATACACGACTGGTCTCAGCGCCCTGGGCTGCAGCAGCTGGAAAGAGGTGCGTCCTTGGACAGCAGTGACAAGAAAAAGCATAGACTTCTTTGCACAGAAAGTCCAGGCTGACCCTGGTTTCAAGGAGGTGGACTGTTCCACTTTCTTATTGAGACAGTGAAGGCAGGATATGGCCAAAGAGGGCCGAAAAGATGGCACAAGGCAAGTCGCAGGTGCTTAGAGAGCCTCGGAGCTGATGCCCACCCAGAGGTGGGTCCGGGGGTGAGGGAGGTCAGGGAGGAGGTCTTCTGCCTCATGGGCACACTTCTTTCTGCTTCTCTGATAGCCACCCTGGGCCTGCCCGCTGCCCCTGTGTGGGAACCCACCACGAAGCCCCAGGCCCCACAACCCCACCGTGGCAACTTTGGGACCCTTGGAGGTCCCCAGGGGGTCTTTGCCTGATTCCTTTGTAAGTGAGACGAATGGTCTCTTTGGGCAAGCAGGGGGGAACCATCCTTTGGCCTTAAACATAACCCTGTTGGAGTCAAAGTGGACCACCCAGCCAGAAGGCAGAAGCAGCCCCTCGCCAGTGTCATAGGAGAGACGCTGGACAGGTTGGACACCCCCTCCCCCCCCCCAGGTTGAACCCACGGTGAGTCGAACATGGCCTTGGTACCTTCGCTGTTCCAGAAGAGCGTGGTTTCAGCACTCAGTAGTTTGACATCGATGTCTTCCAGTTCCGACTTTATTAGTGGAGATTCTACTTCCATCACCGTGGTCTTTATCTGAAATACAAAGGCTGGGGTTTCAGGGCCTTCGTTCCAAATCCAACCGGATTTAAAATGGTCTCACAGGAAGGGTCTTATTACGTGGTACCAACCAAACTGGTTGCAATTAATGTCATTTAATTGGGAATTATGTATAAATCAAATTCCAGGAGATTTCGACTTGCCAAACTATTCTTATCACCAAGGGTTGAGGCATATACTTCACTCTTAGTTACCCACGGTATGGGGTAGAAACAGAAGGAAAGGTGATCATGGGACGGCAGGGAGTGCGTAATCCAAAACTGTTTCTATTTGGCTTAGAAAGAAACAGACACGGGTAGCTGGAGCATGCCTGGGCTCAGAATCTCTCCTTGGTCAGAAATCCCAAATGTGGAATTTGGTTACATAAAGAAGATCCAGGTCTGCAGAGAAGCTGTTCAAGTTGTTTGTGGATCGGAGTGACAGTATGCGTTCTGAAATAGTCTTGATACAGCTCTACCCTGCTCCAAGAAATTAATTGAATGCTTTAAAAAACGTCAATTCACAAACCAAGGGGGGAGAAAGGAGAAGGAAGGTGTACCCAGGTTTTATAAATTATTCCTTTTTTTTTTTTAAAGATTTTATTTATTCATTTGAGAGAGCGAGAGAGAGCATGAGCAGGGAGAGAGGCAGAGGGAGAGGGAGAAGCAGACTCCCTGCTGAGCAGGGAGCCCGGTGCAGGGCTCGATCCCAGGACCCTGGGATCATGACCTGAGCCAAAGGCAGACACCTAACTGAGCCACCCAGGCGCCCCTAAATTATCCCTTTAAATCACAAGCACCATTTGAATTTTGGAATATCCTTCTACCTAGCAACATTTTTATTTTATGTAACTTTTCAAGGACACTCCTACTTTATAAAGTGAAGGATGCACATAGAATTAAAACTGTACGTGAGATGCTGACCATTTGCCTTTCAGAACGACACTTTCCATACATTTGGTACTTTCATACGGTGCCCTGCCAACCTTCTCCCTCAAGTGTTTTCGGGGATCGGGAGGGCAGAGAAATAAAGCTTAGAACTTACGATGAGTAGAAACAGGACAGAAATAAGAGAAAGCATCTATGGAATCACAAAGTGAGCAAACATGAGATATTGACTCCACTCATCAGAGTTTAGATATTAAATAACTACCACAGGCCGTGGTCTCCTCCCCATTATTAGTGCCCTTGCTTTGAGACTGTATCCCACGTGAGACCATTTCGTGATGTGCCCCTTTGGTAGGGTTAGGAACTAAATCCTGTAAACAGAGTTGCAAGGATCCCTTTCTGCAGAACCAAACCAGCTGGGAAAGATGCTGAGTCCCTGGGGACGGGCAGGGACGGCAGGTGTGCCCGGGCTCAGCACCCGGGGCCAGCCCAGCTGGGCCGCTGCGTCCTGCCCACAACTCACGTGGATACTCGGCGACTCAGGACAGCCACTCATTCATTGCCTATTTCCCCCGGTGACAGCCCGGAGGAGCAGCCGAATGTCACCGTGCTGCTGGGATTGCCGGAGTAAACAAAGCTCCCGGTGAGAAGATACACGTACTAATATGTACGTCCTGTGTATTTTTTTAACAGCCTATGTTATAAATTCACACCTCTAGGGCTCTGGCCCCAGAAGTGTGATGTGGACAAACCGCACACTCGCGTGGTCCCTCGGACACCCCAGCGGATTCCTCAAGGCACCACGGCCCCCTCTCTAGCTCAGACACGAACAGATGCGAGCAGTCTGCAGGCCGGTGGTGTCTCTTAGCAACAGAAACCACGCTAGGGATGCGAAGGGCCTGGGGAGAAGGGCTCCAAAGAGGGGAACCGGGTCACCAGGAAGCGTCGCCGCGGGCACCCAGCCCTGGGCCTGACTTCCCGCCTCCCCACCTAGTCCAACATTTGTATTCACAGAGCGGCAGAGCTCAAGGCTGAGAAACGCGCTTCTCGGGGTGGACAGCGATGCGTGTGGCTGGGTTTTGTTTGGAAATACAGAAGTAGAAGATCAAACTTTTTAAATTTTTTTATTTTGAAAAAAAAATTTATTTAAGTCATCTCTACACCCCACGTGGGGCTCGAACTCACGGCCCCGAGATCAATAGTCGCTCACTCCTCTGACGGAGCCAGCCAGGCGCCCCAAGATCAAATTTTTTTAACTCGAAATAAACTTGGTTGGACTTTTTTCTTCTGGTTCACCACCATCGGAAGTCTTCTGCTCTGAAAAGAGCCCACGGACGTTTTTGGCGCCGCCGCGGCTGGGAGGGGCTCCCGGGCGGGCGAACGCAAAGGTCTCTGAGTCTGAAGATAGCTACTTCCAGGAAAAGCAAAGTCAAGGAAATGCACTTATGGCAGACACTGGTATTTTGTAGTTGGCTGCACAAATAAGTGAGATCGTTAAAATTTTATCCCGAAAAATGAAATTAATGAAAACGAGCTTCTTTTAGTTTCTGTTGAACACATTTTTGTGACGTCACCACCATGCCCTAATTCGTGGAATGGAGTAAGGGACGGATCGGTCGTTGATTCTTTGCTGGGTGACACGTGTTGGTGGCAGGGCGGTGATGACCTTTGACAAATCTATGTGATGGCGCGACCTGGCCTGCTCCACTTTGCCTTCGCTTATCCCAGCGTGTTCTTGAAGGAGGTCACTTCTACCAAGGGCAGGGGGCTTCCTCGGTCTCCCCAAGGCCTCGCTCGTAAACCTTTGATGATATTCCCACTCCTCCCTTGGTCGGCACCTGAGGTGGGCACCAGATTCCCGGGCTCGGGCAAATGCATGGTACTAAGTGGCCACCATCCCCTGCACGAGATGTTTGGTAAGCAAGCCCTGGATCCCAGAAGCGCCCCTCGGACTCACGGCCTTCCTGCTGTTTCTTGCTGCCGTAAGGGAAGGTGCAGCCATGCTGTGCTCCCGGGAGCGCCAGCTCGGATGCAACTGGGCAAGGGAGCTGGGGAGGGGCAGGACAGCAGGGGGAAGAGCTCCCCGTCCACGTGCGGGATGGACCTGGGCATGTGGTACGGGGCCCTACAGGACAGGCCAGGGAAGGCAGCAGACACACGGCCCTGCGGCTCTAGGAAAGGGGCCCTCGCGTCAGGAATCCGTGAGCAGAAGCATCTTTAGGACAGAGTTGAGACACAAAGCACAAGAACAAAAATAACATTCCTGGCTCCAGACAGTTGTCCAGTTGGGGGCAAGCTGGCTGCGAGAACCATCAACCTTCTGGAGCTAGCTCAAACCACGTGAGGGTGTGCAGAACGAGTTAAGGTCACAAACAGGAAACCCACAGACTTGGACGCATCTGGAGGAGCCACCAGGATGGGACCTGCAAAGTCCACATCCAGGCTCCTCCTCCGTCGCTGGGGGCCCTTCTGGCCACCGGCTACGCTCCCCAGATCCCTTCCTTCTGCAGTCTGTGCTTCTGCCCTTCTCTGTTCCTCCACTTCCCCAGGACTCCCATCTGAAGGAGGCTGGCATCTCCTCCAAATTCCCAGGGCTCCAAGGAGAGGGAATCTTGTGGGCCCCTTGCTGGATTAGGTGGGTGGGTGGGTGGGGGTCAAATGGCTCCCCAGAGACATCCGCATCCTAATCCCTGGGATCTGTGGCCATGCAAAAGAAAATTTTTGGGGGTGATTCAGTTAAAGACCTTGGCGCCGGGAGGACATCCTGGGTTATGGGGGGAGGGGCAATGCAATCACAAGGTCCTTAGAAGAGGGAGGTGATAAGGTCAGGGGGAAGAAGGAGGCAGAGGCTGGGGAGGGGGTTGTCATCTGAAGGTGGAGCAGGGAAAGCTGTGGCCTTGAGGAGGTGGGAAAGGCAAGGAAGCAGATTAGCCCACTGGAGCCTCTGGGAGGAAGCAGCCCTGCTGACACTTTGATTTGAGCAGAAGGAAACAGAGCTTGGACTTCTGACCTCCAGAACGGGAAGAGAGTAAATGTGGGCCGTTTGAAGCCACGCAGTCCGTGGTCGATTATGGCAGTGGTCCCAGGAAACTCATGCAGAGCCCACATCCATCCTAATCCGCTGTGGCTTGGGCGGGAGTGAAGAGGGATCTGCAGGTGGGGTCTGTATGGAAGGGGGTGCCTGCCACGGTCCGCGGTGCCCCGCGTCCATGCCTCTCTGGGCCCCCTTCCAATTACCAACCCAGAAGGGTTTGTCCCCTAAGGCCAGTCAGTTACTCTTATTCAGAACCAGCTTCTTCACGATTCCTTGTGTCAGGTCCCCAGCTCTGATTGAAAAGGGTGGAGCCCAATGGGGGCTTGAACTCACAACCTTGAGATCAAGACCTGAGCCGAGATCAAGAGTCTGATGTCCAACCGACTGAACCACCCGGGCAGCCCTGAAAGGAATTCTTGATCCGCAGAGCTGACGTGCACCTGTCCCCTCCCCAGGCCCCGATCTAGCCTACCTCAATGGGCAGCTCTCCCCCTCCACCTCCCCACCGCATGGTGCTGGGAAATTTGTCATCCCGCCCAGATTCTGGCAGATGCCCACCCTGCTACATGTTAATGGGTGTAATGGAATGACTTTGATATGACCTGGAGCAAAATACATTTAGGAGAGTAAAGCCCCTCTAAGCAGTCATGGAGCTAGAACATAAGCCAAAGTCCAATGGAAGTTTCCATCTTCAGCTGTTCTGAGTTCTCATCATTTTTGCTGCCCCCGTGTGCATCAATAGCCAAGTGGCTCGAACCACATCTCGACATGAAAAGGTACTCACTCTCTCTGTTGCCCTTGGGAGATCCTACACCTGCGTTTGCTCTAAACAAAACCCCAAACTTGGCAAGTAAAACGAAACAAAACTATATCAGCTCACCTCATTGTACCAGCCAACGATGAGTTCCAAGTTGCCCACAAACTTCCGGAAGGTTTCATGTTGTGAGAACAGATTCTCGGCGCTGCTTGGAATCTCTTTCTGTTGCTGGAAGCCCAAGTACTTGACTTCTCTCAGAACTGCCACCAGCTGTAAGGCCAATGAAGGTCACAGAAGACGTCAGGGCATGACCCCAGCCGTATGGCACTCAGCGACACAAGGGAAGGTCCCTCCCTGGTCACTCCCTGTCCTGGGCACACGCTCGCCTCTTGGCAACCAGGACACCAGACTCTCCCGGTCGCTGCCATCAGGCTCGCTGGACACTTTGGAGATGTGCATGCCGGCGAGTCCCAGGGTGTCATTCCTCTGGATCTGCTCTCACCCCAGTGACCTCCCCCAACCCGACCCTCAGACTCCTGCATCCACCTGCCCACTCAGTGTCTCCATTCGGATGTCCACATGACGTCTCAAGCCCGACGTGGCCAGAGCAGAGCCGCCTCGCCCCACAGCCAGCTCTGCCTGCCCCCTCCAGCTGATGGCAGCTCTGTCCTTCCAGTTGTCCAGCCCAGATATGCTGGGGCTGGTCCTGCCTTCCTCGAAGACTCTATTTCCAACCCACCCAGAATCTCACAGTCTCACGGGCTCTATGACCAAAATCCAATCTCCCCTCACACCCTGGTCGCAGCCACGCTGGTCCAGGGCCACCACCTTCTGTGGTCTTTCTCCTGGATTAAGGCAAAAGGCTCCTAACCGGTCTTCCCGTGCCTACGCCTGTCCCCCCCACCACCCCCAGGCTATTCACACACAGCACCTGGAGGGATCCTTGACATACAAAGACCACCTCAGGGCTCGCCTCTGCTCCCAAACCTGCCATGGCAGCCACGTCACTAAGAACGAAAACCCGAGGAACACTTCATCTAGAACTAATGA